ATAAAAGTTTGTTATGAGTTTTCTTTTTCCTGCTTTCTTGTTTGTCGCTTACGATAAAGCTCGATGTCACCATGTTCACCCATAGCCACAAACGTGCGTCATATTGCAAAAGACAGGAAAAAAGCGGAACGAATATTATGGTGGTAAACACGAAAATATTGAAAGTATGGAGAGAAAAAATTATTATCGTCATTTCTCTTTTGAGTTTGCGGCGCTATTGTGGAAGCATGAACCATGGAAAACGTATTATTTAAATCGGCAACAGATGTAATTTCAATTATTTAATCGCAAAATTAAATTATCCTTATCGTATAGCTGATGATTTTTTACAACGCCCAACAGCCATTCACGGAATGAGTGAGAGAAAGAGAGAGAGAATTTGAAAAAAAGTGTGGACGAAAAGTCATTTGAAGCACGTTTTAAGCATGTTAAGATATGGTGTGTCTGAAACCTATGAGGCACGACGAAGATGCCATTTGATTTAAAGCACGTGAATTTGGTGAACGAAGATACGAAAAAGCTTGTGAACATGAATATAATATGTTTGTAATCGCAGAGACACCGGCACACCGAAGGTGATAAAAAAATAAACTTTTACTTGGAACAGATTTTATAACGTGTTTTCTTACGTTTAGAATAGCAAAATTTTCATAGACTGTGAATTTAAGGAACATATTGAAGTCAAGACCAAGACGATGAGTCAACGGAACGATACAGGAAGTGTAAAGTCAAATCATGGATATTCATGAAAATATATTTCGGTTTGCATGTCATTTGATTGAGTATGGAGGTGAATAAAACAATGGGCTCATGTATTTACAAAGAATGATATTGGTTCAATTTCTCTGCATTCATGTCGCTACTCCAAACACTTCTTTTGGCAAATACTGTGTATTAAAAAGTCTAACTAATCTTAAAATCTTGCAAAATCGTTAAAGAATATTACCATAAACGAATCGAAATTCGTTTAACAAAATACATTTAAAAAAAAAGAAACAACATTCCAACATAGAATGATTTTTAGATAGGATAGATTCGTAAGATCTCCGCAAGATCCGGATCCAAGCGTGCGTACGTAGCCGCATGATACATACATTCGTTATTTCGTATTGCTATGGCATGCGAGTCAAAGTGAGCGAAATAAGAAGAATGAATTTGCGTGCGTATTATATATGTATGCATCATGCGGCAGCGCACGCACGCTTGGATCCGGATCTTGCGGAGATCTTACGAATCTATCCTATCCAAAAATCATTGTATGCATTCCAAGCGTTTATTGCAATGTTTTCATACTTGTTTTAACAGCCAACAGTATGATTTAACTTTAGAAATATGTGTTGCTTGACGGATTGTATATTGTTCCTGTCACAACTTTTTTACAGTCCTATTTTTTTTTATCATACGATATTCAACGTAATAAACCTATTATCACTTATTTTGGCATACTGTTTTTCCCATAGTCATTACTTTTTGTTTGCTCTGTATGCAATTTCGTTTCCGTATGTTATTGCACACATTCAACGCTACATTGTTTTGTGTTGGCAGTAGCTTGATACTGAGAGCATATTATATTTGGCAAATCTCCATTGACTACTCAGTGGAAAAAAGTAAGTCAAAAATGAACATGCAATTTTTCCATTGCAAGTTTGAGTGTTCGCAAAGACGCGTGTCCCAATGTGCGAATATCATCAGTGAGTGAAATGAAAGTTGGGTGACAAAAATTGGAACGATAAGTAAATTGTAATAATTTTCACTTGGTTGCGTATTGTGATTGTGTCATTAAATCGCAAAACAGCAACATATGCACAGATAACACGTTTATGGTCTGAACATGACATTGTTCACAACTTTAAAACACACATTATTGTACCCCTTTTCGGAATACTTTTTGTTGTTTATTATTATTTTATATATGATAGATTCTGTTTGAAGAGAACGGGCACGAAGCATGAAAGCATGGATGTTGGCTAAAACTGAGAATTTGCGACATTCTGCCATTTACTTTGTGTCTATTCTTCATTGACTTTGTTTGCAACATTGTTTCAAAAATGGGTATATGCGTTATTATAGGACAAAGCTTTAAGTGCACACTTTGTGTTAAATGGCCTGCAACCAAGAACCAAAATTACTTCGATTTTACCTTCTACCTTGAGATATAGAATGACAAACACTTACAATATATAACCGTGGCATTATTCGATAAGAAGTTTGCAGAAAGTGACGACCACAAGCTTCCTTCGTAAAGTCTTTGCTATCTAAAGCGGGCATTCATCGCATAACACATAGTTTATTACTTCTTGTGGAATACACAAAGCATCAAGTATATCTGTATTTATAATAGCATCGCTAAAATGGAAAAAAGTATTTTACAAAAGCGAAGAGACCTTGATCGATACATTTTAATTAAAAGCACACAATTTAAATAGTTTTCATTCTTCAAAGTGTGTCAAAGAAGCATATCGTCGTACAGAATAATAGTTGGTCTTTATGAATGTAGCAGTAGACCATTTCCAGTTATCTTATATATAGATTCAATCACTTCTACGTACTCATCTTCATGTAATTGGCATTACATTTACTCATTTCCATCAGTGACCGGTTCGCGCATATTTCTATGCCTGATAGCTATGCTAAGCATAGCGGAGACGTAAGCCGCAACGCACCCGTCGCCATTCGATTCGAGCTATATTGTATGCGCACGGTCGTCTGCATAAACGAACATGTGTATTGTTCATATAGAGTGAACGGCGATGCGTCGGTTGCGTTTGCGGCTATGCTTGGCATATCTATGCTACCTAGCGTATTTAGGCAAGCATAGAAATATGCGCGAACCGGTCACTGATTTCCATTCTTGTAGTAGGTAGATCCAAATCTCTTTTGAAAGATAAATGTCCGCTTGGTAAAAGCGAAATTTAGAAATAATGCAAATGGATGTTTCCAACAGATTCCTTTTATCTTTCTATGTGAGCATACTTTTCTGCAAATATAGTCGTGTACACCTAAAACATCCATTCGGGGAAAGTATCGATCAAGATTTGCATATTTAAAGTAACAGTTTGAATGTAAACATAAAGTCACTTTTATATGTGAACATCAACAATTTATGCAACTGTTAAGTTTTGTGTTCATTTTATTATTAAATTCGAATGATTTTTTAAAATTTCAATTTAAAGTGTTGAACCAATGGGAGGAAATGACACCAAGTTTTAAAATTGGCGCGCTGTTTAGTTTCGATTTGAGTTGTTAAATTACATTGACGTCCCCTTTGAAATTCAGGGCGCCACCGTTGGCTCAAAGAGACTTGAAGTCTTCACATCCTTCCATTGTGTTGAACTCACTATAGTGGAATATATTGGTACCCTTTGCTATAAAACTTACCGTTATCGCCTTGTTGGTTCAAAAATGAACCGCTTAGAATAAAAGTAGATAATGGTAGAAAGTTGAAAAAAATCTCAATCATAAAGTGTTATGAAAATAATACTCAATCAAGGAAAAAAGTGAAAATAAAAGTCGATCAAGAAAAAAATTGAAAATAAAAGTCAAACACAATTTATGATCGATTTTTATTTTCACTTTTTTTCTTGATTGAGTATTATTATAACTCAATTTATGATTGAGATTTTTTTTCACCTTTTTATTAATAGATTAATGATTTTTCTAGTTGACCATTTAGTGATGTTCGAGAATTGAGAAAAAAATGTCTTTTTTCTTTCACTTTTTGTGCTCTGTACCGAGTCTCCGAGAGTTTCATATAAACTCG